AATTAAATTTGTTCATTATAGTAAACTATATTTATTTAAATTTAGATTGAAAACATGAGAAACTACTTTGTTATTGAAAGAATTGAGCCAATTGCCTCACGATCACGCAACACGCGCGGGGAGATTGCCCATATTAGATTTAACAACTTAGCCGATCACCCGCGACCAGATTTGGCTCTCACAAGCCTAATTGAACAACTTTTGGATCGGGTGCTCACCGGAAGACCAGCACCACTTCGTGTTGGTCTTCAGGTGCAGCCACCGAATTTCCATCACCCGTTTACGGTACCTCTTCGCCCACCTGCCCAAAATAATCCTGCCGCATTGGCCGCAGCAATTGAACGACTGAACGAAATCTCTGCCGCTGGCATAGATTTGTTAAGTGGGACAACAACAACAAAATTCATCGCTGTTTGGCCTTTGACTGGACAACGTACAAACAATCCAGCAACTCAATCTGGTAGGTTCATACTAGTCTTACATTTCTTGTATAAATGTAAGGCAGTCATGTTCCTACAGGTAGTTGTGATTTGGAACAAGAACATGTTGTTACCTCCCGCTGTCGATCAATTGTGCGAGTCTACAATCCAAACGACCGCTACTGTCTTGCACGTGCAGTAGTGATTGGACTTACAAAAATTCGACTTGTTGATCAAGGCGATGCTAATAATGGACCAGCTCATTTTAGAGCTTTTTGTCAACAACAAGAACAACATATGTTTTTTGTAAATTACTTAATGAATATATCTGGACTTCCTTATGGATTACAGGTATTATTTAATTACATTTTTTTCAGTGTTACTTTATATAGGAATATTCGCTTGAACATGTAGCGATTCTCCAACGATGGTTGAATCAATATTATGGAGAAGGGCACACCCGTATTGTAGTTTTCCATAAAGAGCAACAATACCGGATTGTGTTTAAAGGAGAGGGAAGAGCAGCTCGTTACAATTTATGTCTGCTCTTGGAGAATCGCCATTACAACTACATTGGTCGCCCTGAACAACTTTTGGGAGTCAAACGTTATTGTATTGACTGTGAACGTTCGGTGACACGTTGGAGTCATTGGGCTGGATGCAATGTAGTTTGTAGATTTTGCATGAGGTCAGGTCCCGAATTCCCATGCCAAGTAATATCTAAATTAATTTAAAATTTTCATTGTTATTTTATAGGAAGATGAAAGAATCCCGTGTCAAAACTGCGGATTCATTTTTCCACGCCGATCATGTTATGACTACCATTTAGTCAATTCTGCTCCACTAGAAATGATTCGACGCGATACACGTAATTTTGCATCCATTTGCCAAATGCGTCGTATTTGCTCCAATTGCCATCTCATAATCTATGCTCAGCAAACACACGAATGTCATCAACAACGACAACCTCAGGAAAATTGTACAAAATGTAATGGTCCTCATTCTGAGGACCAGCCATGCTATATTCAACCATTGTCTGTTGAAGCAGAGGAAGAAGAAATTATTGAACCTGTATTAAATGAAAATCAACAACAACAACAACAAGCAAAGAGACAACGAAAACAACCATTACGTCTATGTTTTTTCGATGCTGAGACCAGCCAGGATGAGCCAGTCCAGATTAGTAATAATATTAATGGATATAGACATGTTCCACTTTTAATTATTGCCGAGGTAAATTTTTTTAGTCAATGTATTATATTTAGTAAATTTACATTTAGGTTATCTGCGAAAAATGTATCCTGGCAGGAATTAGTATTGAAAATATTGGACAACGTGCTCCAGGATGCTTCTGTGGAAAACCAAGAGGCCAACGTTGGTTAAATTGGTGTTCCCCACCATTCAGAAATGCTCCAGGCGACACCACCGCCCGTCCTGACAACATAATTTTTAATCCTAGGCGAATGTTTTTTCATTCGTTTGACAACGCAGAAGAGAACCCTGTTGACCAATTTCTCGACTATCTACTTAATCATGGTTCACAGAATATGCTGACAATCTGCATTGCTCACAATGGGGGAAAGTATGACTTTCATCTGTTGTTAGAGGCTCTTCATCGGCGTAATCAACCGCCAACGAGGTTATGTACAACGGGGTTAAAGATCTACTCAATGACTCTTGGCGGAAATCATCAGAGAAAAGTTCAATTCAAGGATTCGCTAAATTATTTCTTTTGTGAACTTGATGCTCTTACCAAGGTTTTTTTTTTATTTATTCGTAAATGTTTTATTTTTTTTCATTTAAAGATTTTTGCTCTACCAGAGGATGTGGCAACAACAAAGCCATTTTTTCCTTATCTCTTTATACAACGTCAACATTTACATGAAAGAATAATTGGGCTCCCTCCTCTTGAATATTACCAGGCTGAATATAAAAAGGCTGACAAGCGTGATAAACTCCTCGATTGGTACAATCAAACAATAGCTGATACCACAACCAACTTTCAGCTTCGTGAACAGTTAATTCTTTATTGTACAAATGATGTAGCGATTCTTCGTGAAAGTGTACTCCGATTCCGCCATCTTATAGGACAACACACGAAGAATCTTGACCCGTTTTTGTCAGTCTCAACAACAGCAGGTCTGGCCTTAACAACATTACGCCGCTGCTTTTTGCCTAAGAATTGGATTGTTCACTCGCCCGAAGGAGGTTATTTGAGAGGACGACGAGCTTCAGCCGAATCGCAGCGATACATCCGCTTTTTTGAACTACAACACCCGGAATCTGCAGGTCAAATTCAGCACGCACAATGGGCACTTGGAGAAGCTCATGTTGAAGACTGCGGGTATAGACTTGATGGCTTATGGCAAAGATCGCCTCCCCTTCGCCCTTTGGCTATTGAATATATGGGATGTTACTATCACGGTATAAAGTTTTTATTAAACTTTTTAATTTTATAAAATTTTAAGGTTGTCCCAAATGCTTCCCTGTACGCGACCAACGCTTAGCAGCTGGTCGTACAGCTGAAGAGCTTTTTGAAAGAACTCAGCAACGCCTATGGGAATTGGAGCATCAACATGGATACCAACTTCATGTTGTCTGGGGGCATGAGATTAAAGAAAAGCTGAGTAACAACACACAGTTACGAAGGAAATGGTTCGAAATTGACTGTGTTCGGCCTATGGATCCCAGAGAGGACTGCCTTAGAGGAGGACGGACAGAACCCTTCAAACTTCATCACATGTGTGCTGAAGATGAAGAGATCCTCTACATCGATATTGTATACTTGAATCTAAACTTTAAAGAAACTATAAAAAAATTTTTAAGGTAAGTCTCTACCCTTATGTTATGAAGGCAAGATCTTTTCCTATTGGACATCCAAATGTCTTGACACGTGATACATTGCTTCTTCCTCCAAACAACCCTTTGCCATGGACATCTCCAGAGCATAACATCTATAAGGGGTTGCTTCTTGTTCGTGTTCAACCTCCGAACTTTATGAATGGAAATCTCCCACCAGTACTTCCATACAGAACTCATGATGGTCGACTCACGTTCCCCCTTTGTGCAAAATGTGCTGATAATAGACAACAACGACCCTGCACTCATGGAGAACGTGAACGTTCCTGGCTGACTGGTTATACCCATGTGGAGCTCAATTATGCTTTGGAACGTGGGTATAAAGTCGTGGACATTTATGAGGTAACAATATAATAATCATAACTATAACTTAATTTGATATTTAGGTTTGGAATTATGAAAAATGGGATCCGAATTTATTTCGATCCTATGTCAACACATTCATAGGCTTAAAACAACAAGCTAGTGGTTGGCCAGATGGTTGTGCCTCGGAGTTGGACCGAGCTGACTACCTAGCTGAATTCGAGCGAGTTGAAGGGATCTTCCTCGACCCGGAGAAGATTGAAACAAATCCTGGTTTGCGAATGATTGCGGTGATTTAACTTAGAAAAAAAAAAATAAAAATAAATTAAATTTTTAGAAATTATTAGCAAACTCGCTCTGGGGAAAATTGGCGCAACGTGTTTGTGGAACTGAGGTGCGATATGCCAAAACACCAGCAGAGTTCCATCAATTGTTAGAAGATCCAACAATTGAAATGCTCGACTTTGATCACGTCAGTGAGCATTTGGACCGTTGTGTTGTAAGGAAGAAGCCGGAATTTTCAAAAGCACCAAATACCAACTGCCTCCCAGTAGCAGCATTCGTCACTTCATATGCTCGTCTCCATCTATATGAGTATATTGAACAAGTACATCAAATTGGCGGCGTTCTCCTGTACTGCGATACTGACTCCATCATCTATGTCGGCAAGCGTAATGGCCAGCGTGTACTCGAAGGCGAATATCTTGGTCAAATGAAGCGTGAAGTTCCAACACGCCGAATTCTGGAATTTATTGCTGGGGGTCCGAAAAATTATGGCTACCGACATGTCGACACAAGTACAGGCTTGGATGAGAGAGCAGAGCTTAAGATCCGCTCATTCCCGCTCTCTTATGCTACTCATCAACTCCTTAATTTCAACACTATGAAACAACTTGTGTTGAACCAATTCAATGTTGATGGGGCAGTGTGAGTTTATCAACCAATTTATAAAAAATAATAAAAATATATATTCAGTGATGACACGATTGCCGATGATGTCTTTTACGTTGGTAATTCAATTGGTGTACAATTCCCTCAAATTGGAAGAACTCGTCGGTCTCAGCTTTACACTCATCTGGCCAGGAAGGAATACAGGCCTTGTTATGAGAAAGGCCGAATTATGCCTGGAATGGAAACTCTTCCTTTTGGGCACAGGAGGAATAATTCGGTAATTTAAATTGTTTAAACTTTTTGATTGATTTTTTATTTACAGACATCTCACGGGCAAATACATCAGCAACGACTAACTAGATCACCAATCCCACCACAACAAAAAAGACCTCGCTTAAATATGAATGAATTAAATTTGCAAGATTTACCTGGATCTTCATCGTGGACAGAAGCTGATTATAGAAATAGATACAATTCTTAATATTTTTATTAAAATTTATTCTGTATATATTTTTTTAAATAAAAAAATTATGTTCGTGGAAATTGTTTAATTTTAGGTAAAATATCATTGTTAAAAACATGTTTCATTTCATGAATAGACTTTATTCCTGTTAGTATCACACGTCCTGAGATGTAACATAGGCACGATACTTCTCCATCTCGTTCTTCCATACCTATTTTGAAACGTAGCGCAGGAAAAATTGTTGGGTCGTAATTGGCTTTCATATTTTGATGTCGAAGTTGTTTAAATAATTTTTCAATTGCTAGTTTATGTTCGTGTCTGTAGGCCCCAACAATATTCGTGACAAAAAGATTATAAATTCCAATTTTCTGAAAATTTCCTGCCGCATTATTGGAAGCTCTAATACTTTTCACAACTCTCCATGCCGTTTCATTTGCTAATTCTGGAGTAGGCACGCCTGTTAAGACGACTTTTCCTGATTGAAATATTAGTGCCGCCGTTGTTTTATTGCCTTTGTGTCTTAGTCGCATAATTATCGAATGGAATCTTTTTGGATTATATTCAGTGTTAATTCCAAATCTTGCAAGCTTTAAATAATTTTCTGAAGAAAATTTAACGTTGTTCTTAAAGAGTTTAAATACAACTGTACAATTATAGATTTGCATAATATTTACTTGCTAAAAATAAAGACAATTTAATTTGAATTAAAAAAAATTAAAAAAAAAACAATTTATATTTAGTTCTCAATTTAAAAAATTTTTTATTTATCTAATAACATCCTCCTTTCATCTTGTTTCGGCTTACACAAAGGACTTCAAGAGGGTAAAATGATCGATGATGTCCTCCACCAAACTCGATAATACAAGGTAGATACGGATGACAAAGTTTGAAATTATGCTTTACATAATAATATCCGCGGACCTAAAATAAAGAAATGATATTAGTTTTATGAATATAAGCTTACAGTTATGCCCAAATAACCACTCATTGCTGGAACAATACTTGCTGATTGCACTGTAAGATCATGACAATGTACAATAAAATTGCGACAAGTTGGTTTTAGATGAGATGTCCGTAACTGCACACTTTGTCGTAAATGTTCAATAATTTCACGTCGAGCATCAAGATTATGGAATAATACATGTAGTTCCTTGAACGAACAATTTCGAAGTTGGCAAAGATACTCAATTAATGGAACAGGCAAATTTGTCTTCGAACGTAATGATGTAGATATAGTTGGCCTTTTAGGTTGAAAATCTTCATTTTGTTTTGTTGCCGTTGGTGGCGTAGGCTCACGAAAAGGATTTTCTGGTTCAACAGTCCAATCCAAAGGTTTATCGTCTTGAGTAATTCGTAGGATTTTTTCGCTTGTATCTATATTAATTTCATCTTCAATTTGTTCCTCATCCATTTTATCTTCTGCTATGTCATCCATAATTGTAAGTAATCCAAAAGCCGGGGTAATAACATCAACACCTTTCTAAAATTTAAATTTTAAAAATCCAAGTATTTAATTTATCTTACCTTTACTTTCTCTTCAACTTCATCTCCAGAGTCTTCAACCACTACTAATGCTGGCTGGTCCGTTTGGGATTCGCTTGATGTATTTTGTTGTTGTTGTTGTTCTGGTTCAGGGTCGTCTTCGAGAACTCCCCAAACCATAAGAGTGAGAAGAAATTCCATTACATTCATTTTGTTAATTTTGAAATTCTAAAATCTATATATACTTATTTATAAAAATTAAATTCAATTTTAAAATGTCAGGATTTGAAAAATTTGATTTAATACATTCAAGATTCAAACACCCTTTTACAATGATTGTATCGGGAAGTACAGGATCTGGTAAATCAGAATGGGTTAAAAAGTTTCTGGAAAACTTGTCAGAAATGATTCCAGATGAAAATGAAGGAAAACATCAAATTGATTTAGTTCTATATTGTTATGGAGAGTTAAATAAAAATATTATAAGAATGCAAAGAATGGGGTTTGTTGATAAGGGTAAGACAACTGTTATAGTTCATAATGGTCTGCCAGTAGAGGGTGAGGAATTTATACGTACAAGGGCCATTCAATCAAATGGAAAAATGTTGCTTGTACTTGATGACTTAATGGTTGGGATGAATCAAAATCTATTAGATACAATATTTACGAAAGGCTCTCATAACTGGAAAATGAGTGTTATATTAATAACACAGCATTTGTTTAGCAAAGAATTGAAAATAGCTCGTAATAATTCACACTATTTGCTGTTAATGCGAAATCCTGCGGGAGCCTTGCAGATAAGAACACTTGCTTCCCATTTGTTTCCTTCACGTTCAAAATATTTCTTAGAGGCGTATTCGGATGCTACAAAAGACAATTTTGGATATCTTTTAGTAGATATACATCCTAGCACACCTGAATTGTTAAGACTTAGAACACATATATATCGTGATGATGAGAGTAAAACTATAGTTTATATTCCAAAATGAGGAAAAAAATTTATACAAGCGATCTAATACAGCAAAATTTAAATTTTTTGCGTTCGATTTTTCATTGTTCAAAATCAAATAAAGTATTAAAAGAATTACTAGATAAGGCTTCAGATGAACAATTGTTATGTTTTGTGGAAATTTGTTTTAATTTATTAAAAGGACGTCTACCCTTTCATAAAAATAGAATTATAACTCTGCAAAAACATGCAAATTTGTTGCGTAAAATAAGTAGATCCAGAAGTGCCCCATCTACAAGAATTTTATTGCAAAAGGGAAATGGAATCCCACCGGTTGCTGCACTTCTCGCCAGCCTTATTATTCCAATAATTACTGACAAAATTTTAAAATAATATAAATAAAAAACTTATTATTGAATTTATATAGTTATGAAGAATGCAAATAGAATGTTTCTAATCCCCGAAGACATTTATAAAAATATAATTGGGGGTTTTGATGAAAATAAAGATTTACATTCAAGCGGAGATGGGACTGCTATATGTTTGATAAAGGAACGTTTACAAAATACTAGTGCCAATAAAGAAATATTAGATCCTACAACAAGGGCAATTCGTTATGAACAGGATTTTAAAAGATATAATAAACTTTTAAAAGAAAAGGAGGAAAAACCTATTGATGTTAAATTGAAAAATTTTGAAGAATTAGCTGATGTCGTTTCAAAAAATATTGAACACAAACCTCCATTAGCAATAAATGCTGATCCCATTAAAAAACCACCCCGTAAAGTTGTAGTAAAAAGGAAACTACATAAAAGATCAGTAGGTAAAGTTGGTATAAGGAGACAATATCCTGTACAAGATATTAAAGTTGAAACTGCTGAAAGTGAGGTGAAAGATACAAGTGATGAAGAGGAAGATGAATTTTTATCGGCAGATACCGATAATGAGCCTGGTCCAAAAGAACAAGCATTGAAATATATAAGACAACATGCCAATGAATTAGGTGTTTTACCAGATGGAAGGTTAGCGAGAAAAATAGGTAGCAAAGATTCTTTCATTACAAGTAATATAGAAGATCTTGTAAATCATATACTTAAAAATAAGAATAAGCGTAAAAGACCAATTCCAACTGGTTACGACGAATTTATTCGTAGAATAAATAAACATACAGTTTTACAAAATTTGCTTTTTCCGTCGAAAACTACTAATAAACAAGAAGGTGAAGGTGGTTGTTTCAAAAAAGTATTTTCTTATAAACCGTCCTTATGGCAGTAGTGTTAACTAATAATAAGATAAAAATACTTGATAAATTATATAAAAATGTTAATTCCTCAACATGTTTTACCTCTCTCGAACCGCTTTTACACGCATCTAGGAAAGTTGATAAAAATATTTCACGACAAGATGTCAAGGACTATCTTTCAAGTCAAAATGTCAATACTCTTCATAGGAGAGTTGTTAGAAAATATAAAAGAATGCCAACGTTAGCTCCCGGACTTCATACAGAATGGCAAGCAGATTTGAGTGTTTTTAATCGTATATGTAAACAGAATCAAGGATACAAGTATTTATTAGTGTGTATAGATACACTCAGTCGTCAAATATTTGTCGAACCGGTAAAGAGTAAACATAGTGATAATATGATAGATTCATTTAAAAAATTATTTTCTCGTACTAAAGTCATTCCATGGAAATTATTAACTGATCAAGGACTTGAATTTACTGCTAAACAAGTGCAAAAATACTTCAAATCCGTGGATATGGAACATTTCTCTATGCTTACTTCACCTCTGTGGCATGCGGGGATGGCAGAAAGAGCGAACAGGAGCATTAAAGAAAGATTAAATAAGTACTTTACAGAAAATAAAACTTTAAAATGGGTGGATGTTATCCAAAAAATTGTTAACTCAATAAATAACTCATTTAATTCCAGTATAGGTATGCGCCCAACTGATGTTAATTTTAAAAATGCTGAAAAATTAAGGCAATTACTAAAGAATAGAGCAATTGAGACACATGCCTCTTCTTCTCGATGGAGAAGGAAAAAGTTTTCAGTAGGAGATAGAGTGCGAATCGAAAAATATAAGCATATATTTCAAAAGGGCTATTTGCCAAATTTCACAAATGAAATTTTTATTATTGATAAAGTCCGCTTAGTTCCCTATCAACCTCCTACATACAAAATTAAAGACTCTAATGGAGAACAGATTAGGGGGTGGTTTTATTCTAATGATTTAATTTTAGTAAAAGAGAATTCTAAAAAGGATGAGAATTTATATGACATTAATAAAGTTTTGAAAAAAAGGAAACGCGATGGGGAAGATTATGTTTTTGTCAGTTGGAAGGGTTATGGCCCGGAACATAACAGCTGGATACCCGCTAATTCCATAACTTGGAGATAATTATACATAAATTAAAATTTAATTTTTTAATATGTAAAAAAATGACTTCATTTTATATTATTATTCCTTCTAACACAAATATTGAAGGAAATAGAACAAATTCCTTCCGAGTTAGGTTACCTCATAAGTTGCAATTTAATTCTGAGTGGCATGTCGGCCTAGCCGTTATGGTTTATCCACACTCCTGGCCATCGTTAGGTACTAATAATGAACAAACTGTAACTGTTTATTGGAAAAGTGGCGATGTAGTTCAATTTTCTGTTCCTTCCAATACCTTAACTAACCCCCAACATTTAAAAGATAATTTAGATAGATCCTTAAACAAAGGAAGTGAAACACTTGTTGAAAAATTTCGTAGCGTACACATTGAATATACAAATAAATTAAAAGAACTTCGCACGCAGGCTAAGGATAAGTACAAACGTTTAAA